ACGGCGCCGATGATGGCTCGTATAGTCACCATGTTCCTCCCCATGGCAAACCCAATCAAGATATTTAGGAGTGAAACCTTGTCTCAGTACATGAAGCTTAATATCCTCGATATCTTTAAAATATTTATTCTTACAAATCTTACAAGGACAACGCATCTGCCCATTGAATCTGTCTACTTTTGGATTTGACTCACAAAACTCAATGAATTGTCTAACTTTGTCAACCCAGTCTGTATTTATAAAACCTGAGCTATCAAGTCTTTTATACATCCAATCTCGATTTTCGTGAAAGTCACTCATTTTGAGAAATTCAAACAAATAATTAAAATTAACATACTATTGAGTTATAGAATTCATTTCAAACAAACTTAAAAATATAATATAAAAAATATAATATAAATGGATCGAAACAACTACAATATTCAACAACGTAACATACACAATACATACACAATCAATCCTCATGTAACATTAACAATATGTAAAATATAACAATTAATAAGCATAAATTCATTCCTCCTATAAAACTTACAATATATAAAATAAAAAATTAAACAATTAGTAAGCACAATATTGGTTCACTAAAAGTTTAAGGAATATAATTAAATTTGTTAAAACAAATGACTAAATTTTGAATGACAAACCCTAACCTTAAATAATTATACAATTAAAACTAAATTTGTAATTATAAACAAAATATGATATTTTAAAAACCCTAATGTAAACAATACAATTATAATAAAAAAAATAATTCACAAATATAATTTGAATAAGAGATGAAAAGTTGAAAAAAAACCTGAGATGAAGAACTGACGATGACCGGACGGCAAGGAGGACCGGCGGCGGCGATTGATGGTGGAGGGCGGAGACGACGAGCGGACGGCGTGGCAGAGGAGAATCGCGGGCGATTTGGGCAGCAGACCAGAGACCTTCGACTCGGCGGCGGACCTTTTATTTCTCTCTGCAAATCGGTGAAACTGGCTAAGGAAGGGTATAGATCTGTTTTGAAGCGACGGAATGTAGCGACGGATATATTCCGTCGCCTAGCCAAAATGCAGCGTTTCAATAAAATTCCGTTCGTGACGGAAATATTCCGTCGCTAAAACTAACGACGCAAATTTCCGTCGGTAAATCCGTCGTCAAAAAAGCCGCGCACAACCTCCCGCCAATACCGAGCGACGGATCTTTATTTCCGTCGTTACTCTTGGTTGGCGTTTTATTCCGTCGCTAAAGCCGTCGCTACTAGCGTCGAACAAAATTCCGTCGCTGCAATGCGTCGTTGTTTTGGCGTTTTCTTGTAGTGTTAGACCCAACACTCTATTGGTTGTATGGTTATTTTAGCGGAATAATACGTGAAGTATTCGGGCTTGATGTAGTACCCGAACTGAAATGAAAGATTTGTAAATAGGAGAAAGGAAGAGGCATAATAAAGGAGTGAAATGAGTCGCCGGAAAGGCTGTCCTTAAGACAACATCGGCCACCTACCGCTCTGGTTAAACGTGCCCGAGGATAAAACCTTTCCGAGTTAGGCAGAGTTACAGGAGTCCCAGAGTCCCGCCACCCCTCGCTCGAACCCGGGCACGGGGCCTGAGTCCCGCCTGTGTGCGTGCCGTGCCGAGCCAAGCCGAGCGGCGGCGGTGGACGTAGCTACCCCTTTTTATCTACCAATAAAAGCACTTTATTATCTCATAAAGTGTTCCACCTTTTATGGGAGCATTTAATGAGCTAACTTTCCAATGTGCAAACACAAACCCTATAAGGAAAGTATACTCATTAATTGTCACCCAAAGGGTCTACTTTGAGCATTAATTTCTCTTTCACCGATTAACTATTTTTAGCGTATAATATATCTAATCGTTCATCTCACTTAGTAGAACGTATTTCCATTTTATTTCGGTTCGAACCGTAATTGGGATGCACTTATATCTTAGCTCAAAAATGGTTTCCAAATTTTATTCACACATATTTTTCCAACACTCTGTTTCGCCCAACCCTGCTTGTCCTCAAAGTTACCACTACCCCTAGGTCAATATTTAGATTGTAAAATGTATATTGGGAGTAATAGTGCCTTTTTGGATTGCAAAAAAAAAAATGAGGCCCATCCACTAATGGTCAAAACCGCTCACACACCTAAAAGAAGATAAATTGAGCTTTCATCACAGGCTAAAGTGAAACCTGTACCTAGTATTTGCAGATGTCTTATGCTTACAATAGTTATCTTCCAATGCAGTTCCTAGAAATCGAACTCGAAACTTACCTCCTTTACACCCATTGCCTTGCCAATTGAGTCACGTCCCTCAACAACCTCATTGGATTGAAATTGAGACCGGAAGAAAACACCAGAGTGTGAGGTGTAAGAAACATTTGAAAAGTGATTAAAGCACCCAAACGGGTAAGCCCTTTATGGGGTCTTAGACAAACTTGGTTCAGTAGTTTTATAATTTCCCATTTGACAAAGTAGATAATATTAGTACAGCTTTCAAAAGATAGATATACAAAAGCAATTGGATGTGAAGAACTTAATGGTGTTATCTGTCATAGGGGCAGGTGCTCTGCTGCTCATATATGTTATAAGTATTAAGAGTATGCATGTTCATCCCCATAATGTAGAGCATCAAAAGCTATGCATTGCGCTCAATCAGGTAAACAAGCCAAGCAGTTAAAGATTAGTCACTTATAAGGCACAGTCTCTTATGGGCCTATATTGAGGAATGCCGTGGTTGAGAAAATAATCATCACACGCCCTGCTAGGAGAAGACTCCATGGTGTTTCTGCAATATATTTCTTCACCAAATCGCGAAAGGTAATTCAGACCCATGAGAAGCTCAACCATTGCTGCTTCAGTCTTAGCTTGGTTTGCAAAGTAGAGGGTCTGAACAAGAAGCACATTGCCCCCGGAAATCATTGGCTGCTTCTCAAAGTTTCTTTCGGAATGCCATCTTACCGTGCCATGAGCAAGCGGAGATAACCACTCGATTATTCTTCCCAGCACCGAAGCCCATTCTGCTGCTAGTGAAGGGTTATAGACAGATGAAGCCAGCGTCTTTTTGAATAGCTTCAAGTTTGCCTTGAGTAAGTTTCTTACACTAGTTGGTAACATACCATACAGGTCATCTCGAGCATCAGAACTGATCAAGTGAGGCGAAGTAGCCAACTTCTCAATGAGTATGATAATATTTGCGTAGTGGAGAGCCAATGCAGCATAACCAAGACTTGATGGGGGTACAGTTAACATCTTATGTTTCATGTTGAAAAAAGATTCTTTTGCTGAAGTTAAGCCCCTAACAACTGTGTTAGTGTCTTTTGATCCACCTCTATATCTTTGGCGACGGTCATTACACCTCAAAACATGATCATTTTTTGGCACGCAGCTTTCGATAACAGGTGACTCCTTACCAGCCTTAATGCACCCACCAAAAGACACAATAGGAGCTAGCCGTCTTGATTTCATTAGTGATGGTTTTCCGCAGAGAACAGATGACTGTCGAATAAGTAACATCCTCTTTTTACTGTTACTATGCCCTAAACTTGAAAATGACCGCCCTAGGGGTCTAACTATAGGTCCTGAATAAAACCTGGACATGTTACTCTTAGAGGAATAAAAAGAACCAGAGACAGAGCAGCTGCGAGCTAGAGAGTTGGTTCCCAAATCCCCAGAGAGATTGCTTTCGTCATTATCTCCTGTCTGATTTGTTCCAAAAACAGACTTGATCCTCGCGATTATTGTGAAAATAGATCGAAGTAAAAGCCGGACAACATAGTCATGTGATCTAACCCAAGGCGACATTTCTTGAAGATTCTTAACTTCCTGGCGCTGCCAATTAACCTTGTGCTGAAACTCGATAAATTTGGAATTAGAGCCGCCACCAGCCTGTATCCGCCTCAAAGTTTGCTCAAGCTCTGCAAGCACTTCAAGCTCTTGAGTGAGCTGCATCGCAGCTGCAACAAACCTTTCCATTTTCTTAACCTTCCTCTCCATCTTATTCACCCTATATTCCCAGCCGCTCCCTTTAAGACCCATCTCGACTGGATCGTCAAAAATCATTTGAAGATTATGATACCCAGGGTCTATACACCTCTTTCCAAGCCTAACAATTGATTTTGCAACGCACCCGGCATTGCTAATTACCTCAGCCATAACAAGATCCATGAGATAATCACCATCTGCCGAGATGAGTCTTTGAATACCACGTGACGTTGTAATTTCTTCTCTTAATCTCTGAATCTCTCTGTCACCTACCAGACGCCACATGTTAATCGTCTTAGACATGATACCTGTCACTTCGAATGCCAGGATACCGATGATGGTTTTCTCAGGCTCTGATCCTGAGCTCTTCCCTGTACTTCTCCAGAAATTTCTAAGCCGCGATTCGCTCACAGTTTCAGCACCCATCATACCAACTTGATATATTAAATTCAAACCCTAGTGGGTGTTCAAATCCTGTAAATAAATTTTAAAAAAAACATGAAAATCCAATTTGAAACTTTCCTGCACAAATTACATGTGGTGCTAAAACTAATATGTGATTCGTTCAAAATTGGAGCCACTAGGGGATCACACACACATTTCTTCTTTTACAATTGAGTCGGGGCAGAAATGAATTACCGATGTCTTTTGCAGGGAGATTTTTTGCACACAAAATAAAGGAAGATACCTTGATTAAGTGTTACAAGTTCGTTTTTAAATCAAAAGCACCCATGAAAATTTAGCTAGAATGTCAATACCCTGCACACCTTGTCATCTTGGAATTTTTGATATATTGCAGATCGAAACAAGAAAAAAGCAGCTTAAATCCTGTAGGTATTTAAAATCTCTTGAATCATCTATAAATCGTTGGCGACAATTAACCGAACCAGCGATGAAAAATAGAGAGGCATCGTCAGTCCATAAATCAATTATCGAACAAGCAGATAGCGGGCGCGATTGTGATTCTGTGGGACGACGACCGGCTATCGTGGCTTTTACCTTTTTACCAAAGACTTTCGTTTTTGTCTTCCCTCAATTTTTTTTGGATAAAGCTATTTGTACCCCATGTTTTGTACCCCACTTTGTACCCCGTAGCTTTGCACTAACACTTTGTGTTGGTGTAAAACTAATTTTTGTTAATGTACCAACACTTTGTGTCCGTGTAAATTTTTGTAAACACATCAACACTTGTGTTCGTATAAACCATCAAAATGTTTGTGTATAACTGCGGTGTACAAATGGGATACAATTTGTGGTGTAAGTGTAGCATAACCCAATTTTTTTTCTTTCCTATTTCATGTTTTATAGATATAATTAATATCTTTATACGGAGTATATATATAGATGCTCTCTCTGTCTTGAGACTTTTTTTCTAGCTTAGTTAACGATATTTGACTCAAATTATTTTTAATTTAATTTATTTAGTTATAAGTGTAAAATTAAAAAATAAAAATTATATAGTTAAAAATTATATTAAAAATTTTACAAAAAAAGAAATGACATGACTACATTATTTTATGAATTAAATAACAAAAATAAATAAAAAATGATTAAAGTTTGAACATATGAATTGTGACTGGAAAAAAGTTTTAGGACGGAGGAAGTATATATATTATAAAAAATATAATATTCCATAACTATATTTCAATGTAAATCTAGTGATATTAAATTTGTAAAGTAGTGGAATGTATTTTTATGTAATTTATAATAATAAATAAAAAATTGACAAAGAGTTAAATTGAAAAAAAATTGGACAATGCAATATAACACCGTTCATTTGACATCACTAGTTCATGTCATAAGAGTATAAGAGTGTTGTTATATTCACTTGTATTATGGCTAAATTGACTCTATTAATATAAAGAATAAAATTGTCTATTAACCATTAATTAAGTAGATGGCCCACTTCGTGATGTTCACGTTGGAACAGATGAAGAGACACTTTCATACTGACCTTGCTACTAGACCCTGCGACTCTTATAAAGGAGCAATCCTTTGAGCAAAGCGATAACTGCGATGAGAAAAAAGATAAGGGTTCATGCCCCGGGGCCAGTAACAAGGGTACCTCGAAGCAAAAGAAGTTCAAGAACAAAAAGGGCTCCCAAGAGAGACTCAAGGTAGGGAAAATTTTAGGAAGTGCACAGATTTGAACAAACTCACTTTCCTCGTCGTCTCAGTAGGGAAGGTACTATTTTTAAGGTACTTGAAACCTTAAAAATTTATCTTGATTTAATGTCTTTAGTCAAACTTGAATTAAAAAATAAGACTTATGATGAGTGAGTGATTGAAAGCTAGAGAAAACATTACGCTTGATTATAAGCCTAAAGTCAAAACCAAGTTTTTTTTGCAAAACAGTATACTCATATAAGTAGATGCTAGTGAGAAAAGGCAAGAGAGATAGGCTTGTTGAAACTTATTACTTTTTCCTTTTTATCATCTCCCAATATGTACATCTTCTCACTAATAACAGAGTTCGATAGTACACTATTCTCCAGCCACAAAATTCAATAGTCCAAAACTCATAAGGCACAAATTTCGAGAGTCCACAACTCTCAAGAAACAAATGTGGATTGTTCAATATGGTTCTCCCTTGAGATGTGTTTAACATTTTACCAGTTTACATAACTTTACAAAACACCATTGATAACAAATCATACAACTCAACATGTTTTAAATTTGTAGAATTGTCCCTATCATGAAACCGAGATGTAAGTTCGTGGGGGTGCAGTGGAAATCACCAATTGAAAGCTACGCAAATGAATCAAACAACTATGTTGTAGAGAATATACTACAGCACTGTCACAGTAACAGATAACAGAAAGAGTGCTATAATATTTTCTCTATCACAAGCACACACGCAGAATATAAAGTAAAAGCAGTAAACAGTACGCAGTTCGAAGAACCTCTCCTAGGTCTATGGGGCCTACGTCCGTGAAACAACCCTTCCACTAAATCACTGTAAGAACAATCACAAGAAAACCTTTTAATGTATTGATTTGTCTACTTACGAATGAATTGACAACAAAATTTGTTTGCGTCTATCCCCACGGCTTGTTACACCTTCTCTAAGATCTTCTTCAAGGACGTAGATTTCAGTACACCTTCAAACAAATATTTGTCTTTCTCACAAAAAATATGCATGCTGGTCCGAAGCTCATAAATTGATATTGAACCATTGGAATTCGATCTCCACCGTTAAGATTGAAGCTCCACGAATTCTTAGACTCCTCCTAAAATTTCAGCATGATCGGACAAGATTTCGTACTCCAATCATCGACAAAACCAGAGCTGCGTTTACTGCAAAAAAAACCAACGACAATATGTAGATTGTAACTTTGATAACAGATGATTTGTAACTTTGATTGATGTGTTGGAAACGCTCTCTAAACATTTCAGCAAAATCGAACTGTCCGATCTCCGGCGATGATCAAATACGTGTAGGGTGTCTAGAAAATTTGCACTGTCAAAATCTGCACCTTCTTCCTTTTCTTTTGATCTGATCTGCTTCTGTTCTTTCGTATTTTTCGCACACCAAAAATGTAAGGGAAGAAGAAGATAATATATGGAATAGAATAACTCTTTTAGAGTGTACTTAGGAGTCTCAACCATGGCTTCATCCTCAAGAATAGTTAACCAAGTAGGATTAGAATTCTCTCTTCAAGCTCTTTCCTCTTTCTCTTTCTGCACATGCTAAGATTCTATGTCTAAATAAAACATCTAAAATAATTCTAGGTTAATCTATTCGTTTATCAAAAAATAGTGCCAACACAATACAGAATTAATAATCTCCCCCATTGGCAATTTTTTTTGTCAAAAAATGAATCTTAGCTATTTTGAACCTCTTCTCTCCCTTTTTTGCATAAAAAATATCAAAGGTTTTATTAAGAATATTGGGGCAAAAAGAGAAGAGTAACATCTAAGCGAGCTTGAGCATTATAATAATGAATATAAAAAAGACTTAGACTTTGTCACATCATCCTGTGCCATACTTGGGCGACTCCCCCTCGGACGATCCATCTGAAAAAGTAATAATCTGAAAGAATTAAAACACATGTATACAACCAGCAAAAACACTTATGCTCTAAGGTATTCCAGGCTGGGGATGAAACACCTCTTAGAGCATCCTCTAGATCAAGAAAAGATGGGTAAGCACAGACCCAAGCGGGATCTGAGTATACCAAACCGATTCTCATCAAATGCTCTTTTACACATGTCCAATGCCTATTTTTTCATAGACATAAACTTCACACTCTCATGATTAGGAGGTGTCACTTCATCACACTTATGTTGTAACACCCCAATCCGTATAACCCGGAATTATACGAATTAAGGTGAAATGAGAGTTAAATAAAAATTTTGCTTGACATTTGAAAATGAAAATTTATTATAAATATTAAATTTACAGACTCTGGATCGCGACCCATTTAAAAATATTTTCAGAGTAATGCGGAAGTACAATACTAATCAAATCATGACTTTTTTTAAAATATGTTGATCAAACATTTGTCTGCCATCCTTGCATCTTCTCTGACTCAATGCCCTCCGGGAATGGTTCCATCATTGTCTTCTTGTTACCTACGTGTAGTCAACGAAAAATACAAACTACACGCTCAGCGAAACCGCTGAGTGGTACCACGCTAGAATTGTAGAATGATTCACAGACGTATACATATACATATATATACGTCCACAAATGTATAATAATATTCATGATATGACACATTATATCATATGGTCAATTTGATGATTCATGATGATAAATTTTTGATGATAATTACATGATGGCACATTTAATCAATTTGCTTGTGAGGATGATTACTTGATACTTATGTAATCAATATACCTGTTCTTGATGATGATTACATGACACCTATGTAATCGATGTACTTGATGATGATAACATGATGCATGATTCTAAGACGCAAGGACGAGCCTTGAACTATGAGATTCGCCCATTTGGTACGACGAACTCATGCAGAAATAGGGGTGGTACTCGAAAAACTAAGTACCATGTACGTACACTAAGCCCGGTCCGTGATGTCGGACTGCTAAGTCCCGCACAATCACAACTACAAGAGACGCACTTCCGCCTGATCTCTTGCGCATGCACATGATGTGATATGTTTACATATGGAAGATGAAATGAATCACATGATATGAACAATTTGTAAACAATATGATTGGATAAATATACTTTATTTTTTGGATGAAATCTGATAAAAATATCATTAAAATAAGTTACGGGGCTCGGAACACCATGACGGTCGACCGTGGTTGACCGGCGGTTGACCGTTGTTGACTAACTGAGAAAGACGGTCCTCGACTCGGCGGGCGGCAGTCGACCGTCAGCCACCGGCGGTCGACCGTTTGGCTGACAGTCCTGGTTCGTCTCGAAGTTTAACGTGACGGTCGACCCTTTGCGTCGACCGTTTAGGTCTGTGAAAGTTTCTCTTGATATTTTGAGTGTCCAAAAATACTTCTTTAAGTCTTTTAAACACCTTTGATTAATATATACATTTTTGGGTTGATCTCAAATGTTTATAAATACTTATGTATATATATATATATATATATTGACTTTATGGATTTGGTATATTTTGGTCTTAACACAAAGATGACTAATATATGTATCACATATATATTTTGGGATGATTTCAACATATGGATTAACATATATGTTCATGTACGTATGTGATGAATGATTCGACAAGTCTAATGCAAAGGTACAGACCTGGAAATCATCGGCCGAAACCTTACGGATGAGCGGGAGTGGAAACAACATCGAAATTTGCCAACTTTGTCATTTCCGTCACAACTGGACAGCTTGCAGTAATTTGGGCATATCTCCATCGTTTCTCCACGGAATTGCAAACCGTTTGGTTCTGTGGATTCCTAAGATGTAAGGCTACAACTTTCGTATAGAAAGTATTTCGTTTTAACATATGTAAGATAGCGTAAATCGGACCTGAAGTCAATAGAAAGTTGCTGTCCAGAATTTCGGGTATGTCGATGAACATGATTCCGACGATTAACTCACTAACTTCAACGTTCCAATGCCGAACTTTCTCTACGATACCTTCCGGATGTTCCTAATAATTGTTAGAAAGTTTATGGTAAGTATTTGGGATGAAATAATAT